TGCCAGGTGGTTGCTGGAATAAAGGGCTACTAAATAAAGGGCTACTACTAAATAAAGGGCTACCAATCTTGTTCTAATGAAGGATTATAACTGACTTTCATGTTGCATGAGTACATTTTTTTCTTCTCAAAAAGTTAAGGGATTCTCCTAAAGAACCCCCATTAAGTGTACAGCATTAATATTTCACCTATAGTTTTGTTTATTCTACCTTGTTCTACTACCAATGTGTTCATTTGGTATGGCTGGAGACAAAATGACAGACAGAATTTATATTGGCAAATACTGTAATCTCAAGGGAATTATCAGATCACCTTGCATCATACTACCTGCTGGAAACTAAAAGATGGAAACGTATATCTGTTACCCATTTTCAAGGATCTCAAAAAATAATCTCCATTCCCTCAGTACAGTGAATCCCTTGGGTTTAGATAACATTATCTATGCTGTACAACAATGGTAGATCCTCAGTCTTCCTACACCAACATTGTTGTAAGGCAAGAGATGATGAAAGCCATTAACAGTAATCTGTTTGTTTGACATGTTTTATTGTTTGGAACTGTTAACACGAGAACACACAACACTATAGGTGGAGAGTCTCCACTCTTCTGTGTACCGGCATTGTACAGTTGATCTCCTGTTAAATCTACCTTAATACGCTACCTTCAGACAAACATAATTACAGGCCTTGTAATACGCTACCTTCAGACAAACATAATTACAGGCCTCGTAATACGCTACCTTCAGACAAACATAATTACAAGCCTTTTTGAAACTATTCACAGTATTTGTGCATAACAATATTAACAAAAACTGTTGGCCAATGGATCAGCGTCATGCTTCATAATTAAAAGGTCCAGAGATCCCAAATGGACCAGATGTTTTTTTGTGAAAAAGAAATTGTAATAGAAATATTTAAATTCTTTGTTATAATAAATTGAGGAAAAAGACAAAGTCAGAAAATGGCAAACAAAATTGAAGATTGAAGATTGAATACAGCACTACCAATCTTAACTCAAACGTTCTACTGGAGATTGTATTCACTACACTATTTACGGTGTGTATTAAAAAAAAGTTCAAATGACATTTTAAGAATTCAAAATTAATTGTAATTTTATAATTTAGTTCAGTTTTAGAAAGTGTAATTCCTGGACCAACTACATGTTCACCATCGATATATCCTAGGCAGTACATATTTTTCCAAGTATCATATTCTATGCGGATCCTCAACTGGCTAGCTCATCAGTTTCAGTTTGTGTGTGTGCTGCTGTTTATCAATGGTCCAAGCAGGAACAGAAGAGACACAAATTATTTTGTACGGTAAATTTTGGAGGTCCCTTAGCAGTGTTTAGTATTAATTGTTCAAAGTTTTTGCTCAAGATCATACCATCTGTTCTGAATGTCATTTGACCCAAAGGTTGTAAGTGGAGGTCAAGTAATTATAGCTTAGCAAGGGGCCATTTGTCAAGATCACCAGAGGTCCCTCACCTCATCACTATATTTTCCCTAGCTGAATATACCAGAGATCAGACCTGGTTCGGTGAAAAGATATATTTGGTCAAGGTCATCCTATTCCAGAGGTTGTTGGTCAAGGTCATGTAATGCTTGTGTGTCAGAAACCATGATTTTGTGAAAACACATTGTAGACCCTGGTAGGATTTCTGCCATATACAAGATATTTCTATTCCTTTTGGGTAAGTTTTGTATGTGGACTTATGACAACATGACACATAGGGTTAAGGTAAAATCAATAGTACTAGTGTTACATATTGTCACTGTTTTTCAAACTTGATGATGAATTGTTGCTTGTCAGTACTGGGAAGTGTTTTGTGGAAACGTGTTGGGTTTGAGGCAGTGCAACATTTGGTCAAATTACCTTCATTTAGGGAAGAATTACAGAATCCTCAACAATTACAATATCAACATTTGATCATATTAATGCCAGTGCTTTGAGGGAACAGACGCTTTGTGTTTGATGTGGATGGTTGTGGATGCATTGTGGTTCCTGAGTGCCACAATTATTGGCATTACATGTCCAGCACACAGCTATTCCTGATCGCTGTCATCTGCTCCAATTTGTGGTGTCACAACAGCAGATCTGGGTTCTAACATGTGGTGTCGACACAGAGTTGGTGTTACAGGTGGTTTGTAGAGATTGGACAGTTATAGAATTGGTGAAGCTGCTGCTGTGACATTAGGACCACGAGATATGATGTCTGTGGTTTAGTGTACAGTGGTGACTGTACTGGTATTGTGGAAGGCACATAAATGACAAGGTGGCTGATCGGTACTGGCAGCATTACAGCTGTATCATTCCGCTTCTTCAAAGTGAATTGCACCACAAAATGGAATATAGATTCTTTGAAGATGTTGGTTGTGTAGGTGAGTTTCTAAGATGTTTGAAATTCAAACAGGTAAATATATATATGGTTGAAAAAAAAAAGACAAATTTTGGATTTTTTAGAAAATGAGATATTTTCCTTTGTTAATCTGGGGCAATTTGCCATTGCAACTTTGTACAACTTTATTTGCTTTTATTTAAATTAATTATTCAACATAACAGCAAACAGGTATATTGGAAACAGTACAGTGTCCTGTATACAGTATGTCTACAGGACAGTGTACAGTGGTATTACTGTATACAGAATGTCTACAGTACAGTGTACAGTGGTATTACTGTATACAGAATGTCTACAGTACAGTGTACAGTGTATTACTGTATACAGGATGTCTACAGTACAGTGTACAGTGGTATTACTGTATACAGAATGTCTACAGTACAGTGTACAGTGTATTACTGTATACAGGATGTCTACAGTACAGTGTACAGTGGTATTACTGTATACAGAATGTCTACAGTACAGTGTACAGTGTATTACTGTATACAGGATGTCTACAGTACAGTGTACAGTGGTATTACTGTATACAGAATGTCTACAGTACAGTGTACAGTGTATTACTGTATACAGGAAGTCTACAGTACAGTGTACAGTGGTATTACTGTATACAGGAAGTCAACAGTACAGTGCATGTATAGTGGTATTACTGTATACAGGATGTCAACAGTACAGTGTACAGTGGTATTACTGTATACAGGAAGTTTACAGTACAGTGTACAGTGGTATTACTGTATACAGGATGTCTACAGTACAGTGTACAGTGGTATTTACTGTATACAGAATGTCAACAGTACAGTGTACAGTGTATTACTGTATACAGGATGTCTACAGTACAGTGTACAGTGGTATTACTGTATACAGGAAGTCTACAGTACAGTGTACAGTGTATTACTGTATACAGGATGTCTACAGTACAGTGTACAGTGGTATTACTGTATACAGGATGTCTAAAGTACAATGTATAGTGGTATTACTGTATACAGGATATCTACAGTACAATGTACAGTGGTATTACTGTGTACAGGAATTCTACAGTACAGTGTACAGTGGTATTAATGTATACAGGAAGTCTACAGTACAGTGTATAGTGGTATTACTGTATACAGGAAGTCTACAGTACAGTATACAGTGGCATTTCTTAGACAGGAAGTCTACAGTTCAGTGTATAGTGGTATTACTGTATACAGGAAGTCAACAGTACAGTGTACAGTGGTATTAAAGTCTGCCTGCCTGCCTGCCTGCCTGCCTGCCTGCGTTATTTCGTTGCCATAGCAACAACACAAAGGCTTCTGATTGGTTGAAATTAAGATATTGTTCGATTTTGATGAAAACTGGTATCTTGGGGTATAAGGGGACTGCGAATTCAACCGCATATGTTTCGTTGCCATAGCAACCAAATGGAGGCGCTTCTGATTGGTTGATTTTATTTTATTTTTATATTTTTATGAAAAATGGTATATAGGAGCATTAGGGGACTGCAAATTCAAACGCATAAGTTTCGTTACCATATCAACCACACGAAGGTTTCTGATTGGTTGCAATTTAGATATTGTTTGATTTCGTTGAAAATTGGTATATAGGGGTATTAGGTGACTGCAAATTCAATCGCAAATGTTCCGTTCCCATAGCAACTACACAAAGGATTTTGATTGGTTGCAATTTAGAAATTGCTCAATTTCACTCAAATTTAGTTTGAACATTGTAGGTGTACTATGGCAATGCGATCCTTTTCTGATGCATCTTTGCGACTATGGGGGCAGTTTGGGGGTCATCTGTAATGGTCTCCCATTACAATTAGTACTTGTTGCTGTAGATATTGTTAAGATGTTTCAACCAAATTCCTTATGCAAATCCAACTCATGCTAAGTTTGCCAACCAATGTGATTTGTCCGGAGATCTACTCCTACATTTTTTGACGGATTTCTTTGAAACTTAGTTGGCTAAATAATCATGATATGTTGTGTTTCCTTGAAAAGAATTTTGATTCAACAATTTTTGGAAATGTAATTGCCCTTTGTTTATTTCAGTATTTTATTTTTGTCCGGCAATCTTCTCCTACATTTTTCAACTGATCTCTTTGAAACTTGGTATTCATTATAATCATGATATGAAGTTGGGTTTCCCCCCTTAAAAGAATTTTGATTCAATGATCTTTGCAAAAGTACATTTCAGTATTTGATTTTTTGTCCGGAGATTTTCTTCTACATTTTTTATAGCATGTCAGCTGACCACTGTTAGAATGATGCAGATCTTATTTCAATGTAAGAAAGTATATAACACTATATGGCATTCGATGGGCGTATATTGTTCTGCCCCGTGGTACTCTTGTTCTTCCATAAAACATTAATAGAAGTAAAGGTGGTTTGACGTGTTGTCCTGTAAGGTTATTCCTCATTGAAGTTGTGTCTGTAAAAATAAACTAGCTTGGAGTGATTAAACATGATTTAACAGCAGTAATGGAAATAACAGTGGTATTTCACAGTTAACTTCCCAATGTGTCCTACATATACCTTTAACCTGTGCTAAAATAGGTGTTATATTATTGAGTTAGTTTTTAAGTAGCACTTTATATAATGTACAAATCTTTTGTCTTCTCAATTGTAGCATACAAACTGTTTGGGAAGAAGATTTTCAAGACAAGTAGCAGTTTGGTTGCCTCAACCCAGTTACTTCAGAACCCTGTGCCAACACAGGATTGTGACATCATCCTGTGCTTTCCACATGACACTGAGACAGCCACTCTGATGTGGCTCCTAGACAGACTCCGGGCAAGGTCACCAGAGGTCATAGTTCATGTACGTCACCACAGCAACACTAAAGAGGCTGTGTTCCATCTCACTGCTACATATGAAAGGTAAGTCACGTCTTACTGCTGTATCTGTGGACTATCTAAAACTCCATGTGTGCCTGTTTTCCTATTTCTATGCATATTTTTAAGTCTTTGTCTTTTTATGGACATTGCCTCTCTAAATTTAAAGGGTTAGGTATATATTTAGGGAATAACCTTATGGTGTTTTGAAATTTGTGGTGTTATATCATGATTATACTGTCACAAAAGGAGTTTTACTGGCAAAGTGAGATGTATGTGACAGTATAATCACAATATATGTATTGAAATTATCTCAAAGCACAGACAGTTGATTCCCATTCTTATTTTTAAGCTCAGTATACTGAATGAATGGATGATTTAAGTTGTTTTGTGTGTTTTAAGACTTATTAACATTCAAAATGAGAATTAATCGGTTTTATTATGTTGGGCCAAATGATGTCATTCATAATAAAGCCATTCAGACTTCATATGCACAGTTTTCAAATGGTTTATTAGCTTACCTGCCCAAACAGCAAGTTATTGTCTTTTATTCACTGTGCATCACTATGTCTCATTTATTCTGTCACCTACAACTGTAATATTTTGTATAAAGGCTTAATGAATCGAGAAGACAATGATCCACATTTCTAGATGTGTCACCACAGCCAGGTCCCTGCTGACGAGCAGTGTTTGACTATTTTAAAGCTAGGAAGCATTATCTTCCCAGTTTCAAACACGTTCTGAACTTTCCTTATAAAACTCCTTAGGGAAACATCACATCAGACATTGCTGGATAGTCCCTACTTGAAGGCCATAAATGTTTTATTGTTGCAGACAAAAATTCCTTTTGGATGGAGTAGTCTCTTGGTTGAGGTGCTGAAGGGTTATTTATCAGGATTGTATACTATCGTCAGGGTAACGAAGGGATTAGTTCTCTTAATTGTAGCCCCCTTCTGGGGAATTTAGGGGTTGTTTGCCCTGGTGTCTGTTTTTGTGGAAACATCTTTGTTGTAGTTGAACATGTGATAAGTTTTAATCCAATTAAAGAATAGTGTATAGAATAAAGGGCATTCAGATCTGTGTTTTTCTGGACCTTTGATTTTCAGCTTGCTGCGTGGAGCGGAGGATGTGGGAGTGTGTAAACTGCTCAAGGAGGACTATGGAGGGGGAATGAAGGAGTTCACCTTCGAGGACCAAGACTGCTTTGCTGGTGTGGAGAACAAGGAGGAATTCTTTACGACTCAGGAACGCCAAAGTATCATACACTACATGCTCAACAACCTCAGGGCTGTCAAGGGGGAACAACTCTGCAAGGTGAAGTTCCTGGAGGGACAACCAATAGGTAAGGGTTGAATGTCCATTTGTTTGTATTGTAAAGGGCTTTACATTCTCCCATCAGCTAAGTAAGTCTGGAGACAGCTGTACAGAGACAATAATGTTGCAATTCAAACGCCACAGGCCGTCCCACTGAAATGTAAAATCCTGGAAATAACGGCATACTTTTAAGGGCCATCCCACTGAAATGTAAAATCCTGGAAATAACGGCATACTTTTAAGGGCCATCCCACTGAAATGTAAAAACCTGGACATAACGGCATACTTTAATGGGCCATCACACTGAAATGTAAAATCCTGGACATAATGGCATACTTTAATGGGCCATCCCACTGAGATGTAAAAACCTGGACATAGCCGTATAATATCCCACTTGGTCACATTATTTCGGAGCCTAGTTATAGAGGAATATGAAAAAACATAGAGGACCCATGCACTAGAAATGATGTCTGGAATAAGTGTCGAAAATGACTGACTCTTACTGTGTATAGAGTGGACAACCTAAGCTATTTATAGAAAATACAGATTTTACTGTATCAGGGTTGCATCATCAACCTATTATTGTGTTTAATTGAAGAGACTACAATATATATATACATTGTATACAACCATTCAGGGATTAAAAGATGCTGTGCAATTCCATATTTTGTCTTAAAATGACGTCAAATGATGACTAAAAGTTGACATTTTCAAATAATTTGAAATTTAATTAACACTGATTTAATGCATTGTTTATCAGTAAGTAGTGTATTATCCTTCTGGAATATACATTTATTAGTTGCGATCGCCTTTTGTCCGGCGTCGTCCATTGTCCATCGTCCGTCGTCCGTCATGCGTCCGTAAACAATTTACATTTTCGACTTCTTCTCCAACACCCCTGAACCAATTTCAATGAAATTTTGCAGAAACCTTCCATGGCCAAAGGTCAACTAAAATTGTGAACTATATGGTCCCCAGCCCTCAGGGGCCTGAGGGGCGGGGCCAAAAAGGGTAAAATTGACTAAAATTTCAAAAAAAAAATTCTCAAGATCCAGATATGGTAGAATCAAAAACTCTTCATAGATGGAAGGGTCTTAAGGTGCTTTACCAAAATTGTGAATTTCTTGACCCTGGGGTCTCACATTTCCCCCTGGGGAGGGGGTAAACTTTACTATAGTTTATATAGGGAAATCACATTTTGGACCAACATTTGTTTAATTTCCATTGGAAGTAATTCAATTTGGGTTAGCATTATCAGTATTAGGTAGCAGTTTGATAGTA